AATAGACATCAGCACTAGCAAGCTTAACGCCAATTATGAGCGTGCTGGCCGAGTTCTGGAGCTTGCATGGTTCATGGTGCAGCCTTTTTTAATCCATTGATCTGAAAACCTGTCTCAGAACACGAAAGCCTGAGTCCACTGAACGTGGCCATGTTCTGCGGGCACGCCTCCGTTCGAGTTTGGACTACTGTCCGTGCCACATATTGTTCCTTAAACCATGCTGGATGGCATGAAAACAAGCAAACATGGATAGTATGAACAAGATCGTAAGCAATATCGTTACCAACACCAATCTCACGGAGAAACGCCGTAGGAAGAAGGTCGTATGTAAAAGATTGTAGGCAAAATATTTTCAGCAAAAGATTGTAGGTGTTAAGTATCGTAGGAAGAAAGTATGTCAGGAACAAACATTGAATGCTAAGAGATCCTGGGTAAGTGACCATTCGCAAAAAACCTGAGGAAAACATGGTCATGGTGCAATGGAAATGCATGGTGGCATATACCATAGCAGCCTCCGGTAAACATTCAAAGGAACGGAGATAAGTGTGTCTGCACTAAGTGGAACCAAGGTCTTCAAAAGTCTCAGCAAGTCTTCAGAAAAGGCAGCAGCCTGCACTAGCCGCTGTTGCCTGCTCAGTTTTGAAGACTCGACAGCTCTTCACTTATTTGACTTCGAAAACAGTGGCCGAAATTGGACAGGTATATCCGGTTTTAATTTTGTGATCTTACGTGACAGACAAGAATGTTTTCGATATCGGATATCGACCGCCTCGCGCGTGATTTTCGGGCATCAGGTGAAATTTCCGCATTCAACTTTGTTTTCTGCCTCTTCGGAGCTTTGGTTATGCACCTGTTCAGCCCTAGTCCAGTTAATCCAGAGGCGGCATAGAAGCTATCAGTGGTCAGCTGTCCAGCAAATCCTAGCAGCTGTGTCGTCCTGCGAATTCGAATATGAGAAACCAGGCTACCTATATGACCATCGTTCCGTACAATCTTTGCGTACGTTACAATCTTTGTCATCTCCTTCTGGCTACTGCCGTCATGGTCTTTATCCCGCATAGTGCTTGTCCTACGGAATGTTTTGACAGAAGATCTCTATCTCGTGCGATATTTTTCAATCACGGCTCCTATCCTTTGCGATGTTCATTCCGCTCGGTGCTTTATCACACGATTTTTATCCCATGCGCTATTTTGCCATCATGGTTTTTCACTCGTGCACCTAACCGAACCGGCAGGACTCCTACTCCGCGCGCTGTGCACCTCATACGGTCTTTATGCCGCGCGATAATTTGGCCCACACTCTTTTACTTACAATACCTTGCCTGTCATTCCATATTTTACCCGATCTCCACGATCGTAGGTTGTAATTGTTATTACATATGGAAGGTCGTCATTGAAAAGTACGTTTTATCTAACGTTGCTTGATTTTTAAACAGGCTATGTGCAAATATCTCAGCTACAACAGACAATCTTGAAACTCAATGCCATTCAAGCCTATTGATGCATCATAGCAAACAGTTTTTCTGTGAAGTGACAGGCAGCTTTTTGCAACAGGGACAAGGCAATACACCATTAGCATCAACTGCAAACTCGAGTGCTGCAAACCTCTCTGGCAAGACCAAAATGCTCAGGGCCATAGCTTATACCCAATGCATCCTGCTTCTGAAAATCTCCATTTTTCCCTCGGCAAGCCCGGGCAAGCGGATTACGGTGCCAAGTCGTTCAGGCTCAAACGCGGCTGCAGCTGAATTCCCACGCTACCGTTCCCATGCACGCTAGTGTAGCCCAGAGAAGCGCAGCAGCATATTCGTCACACACAACGCCACTGGCACCCATTCGTGCCCGGCGGCCTTGGCAGTGCGCGCCATGCAGTTCACGGCAGGGGCGAACGTCCTGTCCGCCCCTCCTGAGCGCGGCAACAACGGGTACCGACCCAGTTCCCAAGGTATTTTCGGCCTCTGCCCTGTGCGACTGCGGCGTGGTGGCCGCCCCATTTGCCCGAGCTCCCCTCGCATTACCCGAGTAAACAGACGTGCCCCGCTGTCGCCCGTCTGTTTGCCGCCCTCTCTGGGTTGGCCGGGTGGCGGCTCCCGACCGGGTTCGACTGACCGAGCAGCGATGCACGGCTCCGGGCTGGACTGACCGAGCAGCGGCGTGCGGCCCGGGCTGGACTGACCGAGCAGTGGCGCGCGGCCCGGGCTGGACTGGCCGAGCAGCGGCGTGCGGCCCGGGCTGGACTGACCAAGCAGCTGCGTGCGGCCCCTGGCTGGACTGGCCCAGCAGCGATACACGGCTCCAGGCTGGCCTGACCGAGCAGCGATGCACGGCTCCGGGCTGGACTGACCGAGCAGCGATGCACGGCTCCGGGCTGGACTGACCGAGCAGCGGCGTGCGGCCCCTGGCTGGACTGACCTAGCAGCGATGCATGGCTCCGGGCTGGCTTGACCGAGCAGCGATGCACGGCTCCGGGCTTGACTGACCCAGCAGCGATGCACGGCTCCGGGCTGGACTGACCCAGCAGCGATGCATGGCCCCTGGCTGGACTGACCGAGCAGCGGCGCGCGGCCCCCGGCTGTCAGTTGGGTGGGCCCGGTGAATTCGAAAGCAGCGCGGCCTGCGGTCGGCGCCCTCGCCCGCTGTCCCGGCCGCCTATTTACACGCGCCAAAAACTGTATCGGTGAGCCGCCGGTAATGCTTGTTTTCGTCCCGGGCGCTCTGGCTGCGCTATCCACGGGGGATCGGGTGGAAAGGGTCGGTGCTGGCTTGCCTTTGTCTGGATGAGATGCCCTGGAGGTGCGTCGGCGGCGGAAAGAAGGAAACGTAAACTGGTGGAGGACGGGGAGGGGCAGACCATTGTGTGCGCAGATATCATTGCATTCAATCTGCAAATGACCGCGTCTAGGCATGGCTTTAGACCAGTAAGCCCATGAAGTGACCTCAAGTTCCCAGGCCGGCGGCGCTGCCGACGTTGACCGAGTTGCGTGGTGGAAGTGCATGTGGTGATCAGCCCACGTCGCCCTGTTTTTACCGCCAGTATCCTGTTCCGGGTATAATTTCAAGACATTCCACCAGTAGCCCCTTAAGTCTCCCAGTGCATGCAGCACTCAGTAGTCTTGTCTAGAAGCTACCTTATTTCCCAGAACTGTTTGTAGGTTGAGGCAGATGCTGCAAGATGATAGCCTAAACAAATCGGGCCTGTTCCATGCTCAAGGGCGCTTGAAGTATTCTGTGGGCAGCCCGATATGGAAATGTCTCCCATGATCTGGTTGGCAAGATACGTAACATCCAAACATGATGTAAGACACACATCCATTTGCTAGTCAAAAAAGCGAACAGGATGTCTTTTACAAGTTTTGAGAGAAGAAGAAGAGGCATCAAGCTGAGGTATATCATACATGTAGGTTGGGCGTACGTACACACACCTTTATATTGCGTTCACGTGTGCGTCTACACACAGACGCGCACGCACATTCACACTCTCATATAGCCAAGCACGCTTCTGATCATCACTGAAGACACCTACATGCCAGGTTTGCAGAGGGTGAGGCCTCTGCCATACGTCCCGGATTCTGCGCTCGTTACCTGGCGCCGTCGGGCATGACATACCCACATCTCTGGTCTGGTCTCAAGCTGCAGTTTATTAGCGGCTAAGACACGACGTCTAGCCTGCGCGCGACCCGTCAAACATTCCTCACCGATGACACGGCCGTGAAGCCGCGAGCGGAGTGGGTGCCCCACCCGCCGCACCGGCGCCGCCACACCCTCAGCCGCCCAGTCGGCCAATCCGCAACGCCCACGGGGATTTTTTGTGTGCCACGGACTGCCCTTGACAGTGAACTCACCGGTGTCACCGGGGTGAGTACGACGAGTCCAGTTATCTTCCGGGAGCCCCGCCCTTGTGAAGGTCAATCAGCCGATCACGCCGCCTCGTTGGCTTGTCATGCGTGGTTGCGGTCTCCGCCTTGGTACTTCGGCTCGCCCGGATCCAGCGGTCGGTGGGTGCCATTTTGTTGCATCATCTTGTCCCTTTCGTCCCGGCGCCCCGCCACTCACTGGCCGAACTGAGCTGCGATGCCCCAGCCACAGGGTCAGATCAGCGCTGGCTGCTCCAGATCACCGAGGCAGTTAGTATTATCGCGGTTAATATTACAGTATGTTTGTGGTTGTGGGTTAACTGCGCACCAAGCTGCCTCAACGCTTTCAACATTTCCAGTGTTTTAGCTCATCACTACGCTAAGCTTGTTTGAATGAGATATTTGGTAATTTTCGTTAACTATATCAGCTCGCCTACAGAGTGCCCAGCTTCACCGCCAGCTTTAGCCCACAAACGGACATGCCAAAAACTCGACGTAATTTTTCCTGCTGTGGTATTTCAGCGTTCCGTTTACACACTTGTTTTGATCCAATGCCAGTGCTCTTGTTCACTTGATGCTAAGGGTGTCCACGCACCCATCTAACACAGTAATTTGGCCCGCATTGTGGCTTGCGGAGGCAATAAACTGGCGGACATAGAACATATGGGGTGACCAAACGCGGACACTGCATTGCATGATGTAACTGGCCTCTCCGTGGTGGCACCTCAGCCAGCACGCCCTAGCTTTTCGAATTTTGATGGCGTCACTTTTGCAAAGCGCAAATCTGTCACCGCTAGCCAATGTCAGTAACCAAGATGGCAAAATATTTACCCATGAATCCCTTCAGTCGGCGAAGACAGCGCCATTTTAAAGTCGATGTTTGCTCACCAACTGCTTCCCCAGCTGTTTTCGCCGCTCAGAGCGTCCGCGACGCTCGTCCGGCAGCTCGTCGGCCGCTGTTTGTGCGCGGCGGTGTCCGACGCCGCCACTGGGGACGGCGCCGCTATCTTGCAGCGGGATCGCTACACACGGCGGCCGCGTGGTCCCTAAGCCGGCACGGCGGCGCGAGGGAAGGCCCAGGCGGCCCAAGGCCGGCGCCCGGTCAGCAGGCCGGCGCGGCGGCGACTCGCAGAGCGCCGACTGACGCCGCCCGCTGCGGCCGTCCAAGCAGTGTCCGCGTCAGCCGCGCCGTGTCCGCCGCCCGCGTCCGCCCGCGCCATGTGCAGCGCCATGGTCCTGCCCGCGCTCAGTCGGACTCTCTTCAGGTAGGTGGCGGCGGCAGCGACGGTCACTCGGTGCCTGGCGCCGGCCGACCGACGACGGAGGTGACTCGGCGATGTGAGGCCGCCGGCTGACTCAGTGACGCCGGCTGACGCGGCTCGGTCAGTGACTCACGCCGACCGGGCCTCTGCAGGTGCCAGAGACTCGGTGGTGTTGGAAGATCACCGGCTGGCGCCAGCAGCGTCCTATCTTCACCATAATTGACTGGAGGTAGTTTGAGCGTTGTCAGACACTTTTCTCCGCCAGCTATGATAAGGATAGAAGTGCCAAATGTGGCGTACGATTCCTGTCATTGCGTAGGGTTTTCATCATCTGCGTATGCATCTGGCTACCATCTTATACGTACAACCCTTGTGAAAACGCTGTTGTCATTACAAGGGATTGCTATAAGTGCATTACAAGAAGCGTCAGCGTTACATCAGAGTCTTTGCTTTGTTTGCACAAGCATCGCTTAACTATGTGACAGCACAATGAGCTACAACGCTTCTATGACTTTTTATCAAACTGTGCAAATCTATTACGACAGCATTGAAACTAAGGCCTTCAATGACAGTTGATGATCACCTTTTAACAACGACGCCATCCTCAGATGCTTTAGCGCATTTCAATATAACGACTACACGTTTACCTCATTTTTCATACATTGATGAAACAAGTCGTGGGTCGTTCATCATATTTTCCGATCATTAACTACGCATGATGTTGCTATGAATATGATCGCAGTTGCTCACGCAGATTGCAATACTGGAAGTTGTGGCTCAGGCGGTAGAAGGTATCGGCATCAGAACCCTCCTCCCATAGGCCCAGCATGCCTTAGAACATCAGCAAGTGTCTGTGTATTGCTAGAAGTCCAGGGATGCACTTAAGTGCAATGAAGGGCATGGTGAGCACATGTGGCTGGTGACACTGGGCAGCTGACATGATGAGATCCAACGTTTGTAAATTTATTTGGAAGGCGCACGGTTCAAACTTTGTATGCAGCTTTATGGGCTCGTGAAGGAAATTAAGCCAACTGAATGAATGCGTATCAGAAACGTAACCTTATGACTTAAAATATAAATTGGAATGATATTGTTCTTAATCAGTAGGACAGGAACGACTGTAGACGCATGCTTCATTTAGCAGCAGCTGAGTACCCTGGTACTTTAATTCGGCATGCATGCACAAAACAAAATTCTTGTTGTGCCTTGTAGCTATACAACATATGCTCGAAAATCTACTCGGGTGACATGATGGATGCGACATTCATAGATTGCGCTGGCATGCCGCGGTCACCCGTACTCACTGTAAAAGTGCTTAACGTTTTTTGCGCAACCCTACCACGCGTGGGGAAGCATATCTCGCGCGTGAACGCCTGTGATTAGCAAATTACGTCCTCTAATATCAAGCCAACAAAAACACTCACGGTTCTCAACAAAGGTTTTCCACACAGACGGGCTATCATTACCTCTGTGCCTGTCGTAATCACGCAACGGCCACGGCGCAGGCGCAGAACAACACACCATAATCACCCGGCCCCGTTTTTACCCGTGCGGGTGCACAATGTGCCGTATCTCCTTCCTCGTTCCGGCCTGAAGGCTGGCTGGCCGGCCCGCACCGGAGCGAGAATGCATGCTGACCCCATCTTCCGCCCTGTCTGGTTCTGTCCGGCACTGTCCTGCCTCGTCGGTTTTTGCCGCGCTTTCCGGCCCTCTTAGCGTTGTCCCATCCTGTCCCGCCGCTTCAGTGCTGTCCAGTCGTGTCCTCACTGTCTGGTCCTGTCCGGCCCTGTCCCGCCGTGTCCGCGCTGTCTGGTCCTGTCCGTCGCTGTCCGGCGCCATCCGCGTTGTCTAGCGGACTTCCGCGCACGCCGGGGTCGGCCGTGTTGTTGCACGGCCTTCTGGTCCACCTCAGACTCAGCCCACCCACCAGGAAGTACCGCTGCACCGTGACGCTTTCGCTGTTGGCGGCTAATTGCCTCAGGGCCGGCGGCGGCGCGGGAGGAGACCGCTGCCAGCTGATCGCCGATCATGCCATGTGTGAATATGTTCAGACGTCATGCGGTGTGCCGCCGGCGCGGGAGGAGGCCGCTGCCAGCTGATCGCCGATCATGCCACGTGTGAATATGTTCAGACGTCATGCGGTGTGCCGCCGGCACCATCATTGTCTGTCATACGCTCGGTGCTGTAGTGCAAAGCTGCGTCATTCTGATGATTTGTCTGTGGTGTTGCTTGTCGGGTGCGAAGATGGTTTCTCTTTGCTGACATTAGTAATCTGCAACGTGATTAAATGCAAGATACAATCGTATGAATTATATTTGCAGCTGAATATTTTGTAGTGGATTAGACGAGGCAAGCCCACAGGTTTCCAGTTTACCTTCACAAAAATGCCGCAAAACAAGTTCCAAAGAGCTCTTTTTCTGCGGCGAAAGCACGACTGGTGTCACACCAAGCAGATACTAGTGAAGAACACATATTAGTTGTGATTGATCAGTGCCTCTTGGGCCCCGGAATACAGAGCGTTTTTGTTGGAGAGACGCATTGCACATAGCGAAGGCATTGCTAAGATTTGGCTGGGTTGCTCTCGCTTCTACAGCTTGGAGGGGTCCTATCACGTAATGCCGCACAATGCACATCCATAGCAATTGAAAAAACCGCACAATTTACCCGAAGCCATATGCACCACCTCGCTTCCGCGCTTGGATCGATTCAACCGGCTACTACCCGTTTGGTCTTTTATGGGCTATTGCCGCCTACCCGTTGGGTTAGCGGTATCGGTTTTTTGGTTATTGATGCCGGCAGAATTCACAACATACAGCGAAGGGTCCCATAACAGAGTTGCGTGGTCATGCGCCATTAAAAGGTTCTGAGTCGCTGGCAAGTTAAAACGTTCAATTTGTGGTCAATGCTCAACGTATCGCCATGCATGCTGTTTGGAACTGCATTCAGCGCATCATAGTTTCCAGTCGCTGATTGAAGTATCTGCACAATTCGTGAGCGATTACACTTGTCTATGATTTCTTCAGTGTTCACGCTCATTTTCTGTGCTGTCCACTACCAAGGAAAAAATATGAATAATTTATGTATATGTATATATATATATATATATATATATATATATATATATATAAAGACGTGTGTGTACGTATACTTGCTGCATAATTTAGCAAAGGAACCCACGAAAAGGATTTGCGATAAAAAGCATCCGTACATTTCTTGCCATGAGTGGTTTCCGTCCCTAATTTCACGTACAGACGATACCATTGTACACCTGCCGCACTAAAGAAAAAGGTGCAAGCCACTGGTGCGATTGCCACAGCTGTTCCCAAATGGAAGTAAGTCCCTGTGGGCCCAAGAACCGCGAAATTGCCCCTAAAATTATCTTACCACATCAGCAGAACGTTGAATTTAAAGGGTTTATGGGACTTACATGACTATCATCAAATGCAGCTTTCCTGATTCATTTGAATTATCTAACTTTTCTCAGTCAGACTTGACATGCCTACCCCTTTCATAAGGTAAGCATCCCGATGCTACGTTCATTTACATAGTCAATTGCACGCTATACCTTCCAATTTAATAAATTATTTTCCATGCTGCACATGATGCAGCATATATATCAGAAGGAGGGTACCCTTCCCTGTGACCTCGTGCAGCCAAATGTGATTTGAAACATGCCAATTGATGGCGCAGTGTAGACAGCATGAACACCTTAAGCCAAAGGTTACAATGGCTGAAGGGCTCCATCCATCCAACCTATGTCAATCCTAGCCAGGAGCGGCCCCACGCGCGCGAGTAATTCGGCTAAGTCTCGGCTAATGGAGGCCGTTACCGGTGCCAGAGCCGGTCGCCAGCCCCTCCCTCACTCCCATCAGATAAGCACCGCCGGAGACGTCTCCGCGCGGCCGCCCCCTAACCCGCTGTGACGTCACGCCAGACCGGGACCGGGCGGCCACCTCCGGCGCCAGCGGCAGCAGCGGCGGTTCGTCCCAAGCGTGGCGTGGGTGTGACGTCACACCAGACCGGGACCGAGCGGCCACCTCCAGCGCCGGCGGCAGCGGCGGTTGTTCGTCCCAAACGTGGCGTGAGTGTGACGTCACACCAAACCGGGACCGGGCGGCCACCTCCGGCGCCGGCGCCAGCGGCGGCGGTTCGTCCCAAGCGTGGCGTGGGCAGGCTCAGTTCGCCAGCACGATCTTCCGGGACGGGGTTTTTCCGACATGAAAGCCGTACGATCCGTCAGCTCAGACGAAGGTGGACTTCGGCGTCGGTGCATCGGTTATCTATTATTCAGCTCTCGGTTGGTTCGAGGAGTGGGACGTGACGCCGCTAAACCAAAATGCCCCACCCCCATCCCCACCATACCGGCCCCAGCGTCTGCCTTACATCTGAGCAGAAGATCCGCGGTACTTGGCTGTAGCATGCAGCGTGCCTGCGTCCTGTAGCCCGAGCCTCCGTTGAGTGGCGTGTCTGTGCCTACGGCCTACGTACATGTCGGAAAGATGCGTATGAAGGCAGTCGTGCCACGGGGCCTCACTAGACAGAGCTGAGCTAATGCTGAGCAGCGCAGAGCAGCTGATGCGGAGCTGAGCTGAGCAGCGTCATGCGGCGATCGCATCCGACGCGGTGATACTGCTTGCTCCAGTGTCCGACCAAGGCTTTTCCGGAGCCACGCCCAGGGACAGTTATGGCAATGACTGGGCTCACACGCGGGGTGTGCTCGTCGTGTTTGGCCATCCTTTCCACCAATGCAGGTACGGGAATGCGGAGATTCCTGTACCAAACCTCTCTGCCCAATCCACCGTCTGGCTCCCATTCCGATTCTGATTTGTGCTCATAGACGGGGGGGGGGGGGGGGCTCCGCTCTACCGTGGCACTCCCACCGACGACCAGTCGTGATGAAGCATCACTATGGTGACCTTGCCGCTGATGGCCCATAAAGACACACCCGCATGGCGAACCCCGCCACCGGTCTTCGTCGCTGACCCCGAGCAAGGTGGCTCCGC